GGTCGTTGTCAAACTACGTTTGCACGTGCATGCCTGCAATCTTATAAAATAAAGACATATTATTACCACAGGTGCATCTGTTTCTAATATTTATGATACATACATGCATGCATACAAAAATTGTTATACCTATATACTTGTTTTACATACAAAACATACCAATGATAATGAGCCAAATCAGTTTTTAAAAACAAGTTTTTTTTTAGTTTTTTTTTTAATTTATGTATTTCAAGGTAATCTTATTTAGAAATTGCAATACACTCTGCATTTTTTTGGCTGTATCAAAAATCTTTCCATTCCAGATTTTTACATCAACATATTTACAATACAAGTGTTTTAATGTTGACTCTAAAGTGAAGATAAACATATCAGCAAGGGAGACCGGCGTTTACGGACCAACAAAAATAAACGACGGAAAAAATAAACATAAGGAAAAAGCAAGCAATAGAAAATACACATTTTATATAACATTGTTGATGAAAGTGCATCATATGTTGCCGATAAATCACTCAAAAGTGGGAAACATCACTTTGTAGTGTCTCTAAAGAAACTCATACACATACAAAATCTCATTATATACTTGTTGTACGCTATTCTATACCGTTGTGAATAAATATATGATTATTGCTTTTTAATGTGTAAATTCTCATGTGTATTTTTTTCCATGCAAGATTTTTTTTAAAGTTTATAATGCCTACTCGTAAGAATAAATAATTTGTTATACTTTTCTTAAATTGCAATACATGTATACGGTAGGTTTAACAGTTACATGTTTTGCGGGTGCTTGGGATACGAGAGAGTGTTGCAATTATAGCTACAAGATATGAAGACACTCATATCAATTGAGTTAAATGTTCCTTTTTTATTGTTTTGCGGTTTCATTTAGTGTAAGAGAAACAAATACGAACAGGTAAAGAGGACAAATCCAAACTTTTCTAAATTGTTGTTTGGATATATACTTGCAGTCCTTTCATTTTAATCAAGTTACTTATTTAATAATTTATTTTTATTATTTGATAAAGCACATATAAAATTGGATCAAGAACGAATGACATTACTGAACAAAACATAAAAAGATGCTCGGTGTCCATAGAGAAAAGCATAGCAAACACAATTAAAAAGATATATCTGTATGGGAACAAATGGTAAGACGTGCACCACGAAGGGTAGATGTCTCAGATTTGAAACCTTTCATGGGCACCGCATTATTGTTGTATCATGGGTACTGTATCCGAATCCTGTTTTGGGCACGCGATAAGGGTCAATGCATGGGCGGGAGATTCGAATCACCCATACATGAATCGAAACTTATTATGGGCATAGGATTCGTATTATATCATTAGCACAAGATAAGTCACAGCACGGGCACAAGATTCGGTACATATCGCGGGAATATGATTAGAGACCTATTCTTGGCACAGGATTCGAATCCTATTATGGGCACAGGGTTAGTGTCAAAGCATGGGCACTGGATTTGATTTATATCACGGGCACAGGATTCGGGTCCTATTACGGGCACATCTTTTTAGTCTTATCGTGGGCACAACCTATGTTCTTGAGCAAACAATTTACTTTGCATAGCTTCAATTAAGTGTAAATTGGCATCGGAGAGATAATGCAATAAGTGAGTTATCACAAGCGATAAGAATTACTCAAACGAGAAAACAATACTTGGATACAAGTTGAAAGTTGGTCAATGTAAAGACTTGAAGATTTATGAACATGCCCATTACGTAAATCTTAGACAATGCAATATCTTAAAAGTTAAGGAGAAATGATGATTTACAAACAGTTCGATATATTATGGTGCATGCACCTGTTTCTATAGTAATCAGGTTTACCCTATATAAATTATTGGTTGGCAGGTTATATGTGTATTTTTACCTGGCTGTGTGCGTCAGCAAACAACATCAAGGCAACAAGTGATAATTAGCGTACAGCATAACACTACGTAGGAGATGATGAGCAACACTTACAATTTACAACTAAACACATAAAATACAGAATGAAAAATGTAATACAATATATAAAAAACAACCCATCGACAACTCTTCAATTTAGAAAAAATCGAACGTTTATTGAATGAGTCATCATCTTGAATTTGTTTTCTTTTTCTATTTCATGATTTAGTTTAAAGCTGAATACCTCTAGCCTTTAAATAAGTCAAAATATTGCAAGAAAAACAAACTTGAGAAAAATGTGCTAAGATTTTCAGAAATGTAAAAAAGATTATAGTAATAATTTACTTGTTATATACGAAAAATGACTAATTTTGTTGTATATACGAGTACCACCAGATTTTTACTGCTTGACTAACGCATTCATGAAAAAATGCTGCAAAAGAACAATTTTTTCTTCAAAAACTATTTTCGCATAATTTGACCTCTTTTCGGTTATTCATGCAGATTTAATACATGCGTCTGTAAAAGGCAGATAACTTTTGTTCACTTCACTATATTTTACTTTGAAATACATTTAACAAAATGTTCATGCATAAATCTGAAGGCATGCTGCTTTAATATATAAACATTTAAATCTTAAAACCAGTTAACATTCTAACCCTCTAATTTGCGATATTTTGAATATAAACCAGATTATATCTTAGCCGCTTAATTTGCGACATTTAGACGATAATCCATTTAACATTCTAACCACATTTATGCGCGACCTTTTTTTACAATACAGTTTTTTTATAATTAATAAACAATCATTATTAAGTGAAACATTTTAAGTTAAATGTGTTGCGTATAAAACCTTATAAAATGACATTAACCTTCAGCCCGCTGGCGGCAACTAAACTTACAAACGCGACCAGTGCAGACCAAGATCTGCCCGCATGCCATTAACTGTTCAAACATAGTTTGAACTATTTGCTATTCAGTCAGCATATATCTTGGAATTTTCTCTAAACATAATGATTTTTGTCCAGTTGAAAGAAAGACAATATCTAGAAAAAATTAGGCCCTCGGAAGCATTAAAATCAGGAAAAGTACATAACAATTGCAGACCCGGTTTGATTGATTCTGTACATGAGGAAATATAAAAAAGTGCAAAATTCCACACGCCCCCTAGCACCGGCTAGAACGTTCATCAAGGATGGATTAAAACGTGACATATTGCTGTTATTTTAACACAAAGCTTCAAACGTATCAAGTCCATATGAATACTGAAATGACAACGTCTGCAAAATTTCCGTATATACGCATTCTCCTCCTACATCAGGAATTAACGACAAAACAAACAATTTAACAAATAGAATATAGCGTTAATTAAATGCCATAAGAAGAGTAACGCAATATGTAGCTTGGAGAAAGAAGAGAGGAAATAGATTATTTCTGTCTTACAATGAGGTGACAATTTGATATAAACAACACTGATAGAGTCCTACTCCCACAACTTTCTGCATTATTTATAACATCTCGTCTACTATCTAAGTCAAAGACAACTGGTAATCAAATAAATGAGCGTAACATTTATTCTGTTATTGTCGAACAAGCCAATTTAACCCCTTAATTAACCTGCGGAATTTCCTGATTGAACATTTCCGGCTGAATTCTTTTTTAAACTGTTCATTTTAAAAGTCCATTATGTCTCAGAAATGCTTTTATTTTTATCTCTCAAAACTTTTTATTTTTGTCGAATTGTTATTGTTTCGAAAATGTTACTTATTGGCCAACTTTCTGAACCATCATAGAGCAGGGTCAGAATTCGCAGAGTTTAGAACGATTTTATCTTTAATATGAAAACTGCCTTAGACGTGAATAAATAAATCACTGTAAAATAAACCCCATAGTTATTTTAATATGGCTAATAAAAATATCGTTTTAAAATTTAGTATAAAATTTAATTGTAATAAAATCGCATCCTCTGATAATTATCTGAAATCAATATTTCGTTTAAGCCGTTACAAATATAGATTAAACTTAAAATATTAAAATATTAAGAATGGCACCCCAAGCTTCAAGAAAAAGATTGCTTTGACCAGTTTTCTAATCGACTATATTATTATGTATTTTGTATATTTATCATTAAACTAAATACAAACTATTTCAGTTTAGCATATAAAGATCTTTAATTCAAGTTAGTTTAATCTTTATACCGTAACTTACATTAATTATGCTCTTCTGGAGACGCAGAAATAGAACAAAAATGTTAAGGTTAGAATACAACAGGAGTTCTGAGCGCGAGGTAAACGTTATTTCTCCGTACCCAGAAATCTATTATTTTAACAAGAACAGCATCTGTTATTGTTGACATTTTCTTTGTTGTAATACTGGTGTCTCTTGCCAAACATAATACGATATACTTATATAAATATCCCTACCGAAGATAAATGTTTGATCTCTTTGTAAAGCGTAATGAAACTCTCCATTGAGTTCAATAAAACTACCCTCTCATTGCGTTGTTTCGAATAACATGTATCAAATTTCAAACAATTATTGGAAAAACAATAGTTTTGCATCTCATGTTGACAAATGTATATATGTAAATATATTTTATATGTTAGAGGAAGTATTATCGTACAAAAAATGATATATTGTCTATTCTTTTCTGTTCTATTTCATAAACAATAGATGAAGGACACATGTGCATTGACCAGTCTCAAATGCATGCATACATACAGATGTTATCTTTTAACTAGAGAATTTAATATATTGAATTGATCTATCCGTGAGTACAAAAAATAAATGTAAGCTTTTCGTATAAAAACAATAAATTTATACGTAGAATAATCAGTACATTTTTTTTTAAATTTAAATGTAAACAAAAAATAACGTAATGAATAAAATCATTCAATAGCAGTAAAATAATTTTCTCAATTAACCTTTAAATTACATCACAAATGTTAATTGAATAAAAAATTCAAAATTTCAAAATATTTAAGTTCGTAAACAATTTTATAATATAAACATGTTTTTTGATGTAAACATTTTATATAGATAACTTTAATATATTTTCATAAATAAAAAAATAAGGAGAATTATTATTATTAAACTTACTTCTTATCGCGTTACGTTAAGCCGGTTAATCCGAGTTATAATCCAAGTTCATTCATAACAACACATTCACGTCAAGCGAATTGAATCCCACAATGCATTTCTACACACAACTGTAAAAAGAAAGCCGAGAGAAACGTATGTTATAATTAACCTCTTGGAATTAACGAGAACGTTTTTTTAGAGGATTAGGGATCAATAGCGGTGTGCGTTTAATTCAACATTTGTAACATCTGCTCGCGGAAAACACATCGAAACTTTCTTATGAACGAATCTGTCATATAATTTCCTTTAACATTGTTTTCATTAATCCAGTAGCCATATGAAATATTGTAGAACCTCTTTTCGTTAAGTTCGACGTAGTACTAGCACTTATAAACTAAATGTACTATATATAAATATCAAAGGAGGCACATATATACATAGTTCACCTGAGTTTCCCACCATTATCTTGCCGAAAATAACTCCCATACGAAATCAGTGTATGAAATAAATCCATGTTTATACTACCGCATGAGTAATATGTAATATGATTACAAAGCCTTTAATATTGATAAAAATATAAAATGGTCTAAAAAAGATTTAGTATCTAAATATAAAACTTTTATCTATATAGGAAATATAATAAAGCTATTGTTACGAAAAGTTCATTTCTTGTGCACATTAAGACTTGTAAATATTGAAGAACCATCATGATTGTATTGTTCAATATATTGTATGTACAACAAGTTATAATGTGTATTTTTGTTTTTAGAAATACAATACTAAAATCATTACACAACAAAGAAATTAATTCAAGGTTAAATGCAGTATCAGCGAAACTTTACAGTTTTTTTCAATATTTTAGACAAAATTAATTAAATAAATAAATAAATATACAAATGTTTGAATGACTGAAAAGAATGAATGAATGAATGAATGAATGAATGAATGAATGAATGAATGAATGAATGAAATAACTGAACTGAACTGAAGTGAACCGAACCGGAATGAATGAATGATTGAATGAATGAATGAATGAATGCATGAGTGAATGAATGAATAAATGAATGAATGAATGAAAACACTCTTCAAATGTTATTGCCAAATTCACAAGAAATTTAAATCAGTACCTCAATCGAGCACTTACTAATTACAGAAATTAATTTGACGACAGGTAGTTTAAACATAATTGAGCCGCGTCACGACAAAACCAACATAGTGGGTTTGTGACCAGCATGGATCAAGACCAGCCTGCGCATCCGCGCAGTCTGATCAGGATCCATGCTGGTCGCTTACCAACTCTATTACAAGTGGCAGAAACTGACAGCGAACAGCATCGATCCAGATCTGACTGCGCGGATCAGGCTGGTCTGGATCCATGCTGGTCGCAAACCCACTATGTTGGTTTTGTCATGACGCGGCTCAATTACCTTCTTTCAATTTAACAATATGTTAACGTCGATAAGTACCGGCAGGGAGCCTAAATAAGCGGGTTACAGTTGAGTCTATAATGAAGTCCACAGACAACTAAGGTCATATAAGAAATATAATAACATGTTCCAACTGAACTTTATAGAGTAAACAGTTCTTTTTACCGTGGATCATTGATTAATATTAATGAACGGTTAATTCATAAGCAACATCTGTTTTTCTTGAAAAGAACACCGTGTGTGGTGTCATTGACATTTATAAATTAAGCACGTGCCTAGTTTACCCGTGCATTTCATACATGATAAAAAGATATATAAGAATTGTCTGGTATACCATACAAATGTGTCAAAACTAAACACATTATCGTTTGTTATCGGTGACTGTCCGCGTTACTTTACACTATCGTAAATGCGCGCCGTCAAAAATAAACAACGACAATATTAACGTTAAGACAACGTAACGGATGTAGCGACGTAAATATGTCATCTCCGTAAATCAGACATTTTGACATCTTTAGCGCGTCTAAACATTTTCAACTACCCTCAGTAGTATCAAAGTCGCATTGTCTTTTGTTAAGCTTTTGTTAATACTAGTAACGTATATTCCGTTTAATCTTATAATTATATTCATTATATAGACTGATGGCAAGCTTTCTGCAAATAAGTTTTAAGATAAGTAAATAAATTATGTATTTATAAAACCTATTCAAATAAAAGACATTAAATGTACAACGATGATACACGTTTACATAAATATAATTTAAAAAATGTTCAATAAATTGTGTTATTTTAAACCAATGTAAATATCTGACTAAATCAAAATAAAGAGTTGATTGTTCTTTACCTTTCACAAGATGACAAATCTATCAATTTCAATTTAAAATCTAATTCAAAAGTAAATAAAAGAATATTAGATTATTAATGAAATAATATGTATAACACTGGATAATAAGAAATATGTCAACATCTATCTATCTTCCGGTAAGATGTCTCCTTTTACATTACCAGGCATCAGGTCTTCTCAAATAAGGGCATATTGTTATTAAACTACAAACAAGCTAGTCATTGAAGTCTTTTCGGTGGTATTTATTACTCGATAAAGGACGATGTGTTCCGATTTCTGCGTTGCCTCGTTTTGAAATGTTCACGAGTTTTAAAATGTCCACTAAAACTAGTTGCGGTCAGGCTCGGCTTGGAGTATCAGATGAAGTTGCAATAATGCACACATTGATTTAAGTGTTCCCGAAGCGTATTGATGTCCAGGTTTAATAAAACATCTTCAAGAAATTTTTTTTAAAAAACACTCTAATGTCGCAATAGGAATATTTGAATTATATTTTAGGAGTTTAACGAGTCATCGTATTAAAGCGGCCTTCAATTTTTATTTCTTGTTGGAAAAACAATTCTGTGTATTTTCAAACAGTTACTTTATATTGTAATAATTGTATCTATCCTATTCGTGTTAGGCCTTCTTCAAAACAGAATCCCGAGAGGTATGTAGGGCACCTGTGTTGTTCGTTTCTAAAAAAAGAAGAGACGGGGCTTTACTAATTTACATATAGAGAGCGGACCGGTAGATTAGGGGTATCGAGGGGTTTCCTTATTGTTTATGTATTTTATTGACGGCAAATTTCATTTCCCACCACAATTCTTTTGATTGAACGATTTATACTTAGAAAATTAACCTTTAGAAAAGCTGAAGGCCGCTTTAAACGAAAGATATAAAATACATTTAATCGTTTATTGATTAAACTAGCTTGTTGACACATTTTCAAAAAATATGGCCCATATTTCTGATAGTTCTTTGAATAATTAATATACAGGTCATAGAAGAACGTGCATGAGAAGTAAGCCATCGTGTCAAGGACAAGGCCTGGTGTGTCCGCCATACACGTGTACATACACACATGCTTTCGTCTCATAATTTTCTTCCACTCTGTATTGAACAGCAATAGGTAAATACCTCTAAGATCAATCGTTTCATTAACAGAAAGGTTGAAAATATTTGTACAGACCCTTCTCAGTTATTGAAAAGCTTAAACATTAAATAAGTATGCAAATATTTACTGTCTATCTGTGCCAAATATCAAAACTATTGGGGAGACTGTGTCTCTATGGCATTTTCGTAATTCTTAAGTACTATTTTATCTTTTCGCTTATTGTTTAAGATTAAGATAATCGCGGCTGATTAACCAATGAAGATAACATCAATTTAACAATCAAGGAAACGACATGTTTACCTAACAGATACAGATTAACTCGATATACGGCAGTGAATAGCATTCCATGTTTATTTTAAAGATTCATATTCTATCTATTTTAAACAAAATATGCGTATCAAACCCCCAAAAATAATAATTTTAAAGGGGTCTTCAACATTGGAAAGACGGTGACATGGCGTTTTATGTGGCTACCGTCTTTATTTACTTATTTAATTTATTTTATATATTATTTAAATGGAGCACACTCTAAAATAACAGGATTTTGCTAATGTCAGAGCGACACATAAGGTCATTAAGGCGACATCTGAGCTTTGTAGATGATCGAATACAAAAGACACCCGCCTGTGTACACTTTATTGTCAAAATATTTAGAATACACAATACAAATTGTACCTTAACAGGTTAAATACCTTAAATGGACATGTCCGTCTTTCAATCCTTATAAAACCATTCATCATTTTTAGGAATAAAATAATAATGTGTACTGCCTGAATAGCGAACAGTACATGTCATGATCAGCATGCACGGTCTCTTTAAGCTGATCTTGGTTTAAGTTGGCTGCATTGATCGGAACTTTAACCACCTCCTCGTCCAAGTTTGAGCAATGCTTTTAACATTACAGAATTCAATCAACTTATCAACGTATGAATTTACCAATCGTGACCCATACATGTATATTGTATAAGGCAAAAAGGTGTTGCTTTGAAGGTGTTGCTTTGAAGGTGTTGCTTTGAGCTAGATTTTAATTATATAGTGTACATGTATTAATTTAGAGCCCATTAATTAATGATAAAAATATTTTAGATCATCATGTGCTAAGTAATATTAATTCATTCAAACGATGACTCTAACAAAACTGTACAAATCAAATACTTTTATTTGACTTTCCATTTCATATTTTATCAAATGAAAAGCGGTGTTACAAAGGTGACTTATTATAATATGCTTTATGAAGTCTTTCAATTAGTAACCCATTGTCTATTTGACCGGTGTCATACATGAATATATTCTGAATGTACTTTCTTTTAATCACTTTGCATTCATCAACAGTAGGTGAACATCACCGAGCGGTTGCTTTTAAAACATATGAAGTGTAAATGTTATGAGTATATGTTAAATTTTTAATCATTTCTTCGTATTCAATCTTCAAAGCATATATTGAACCTTTAACATTTACTAGATGTTTTTATAATTAACCACAACAGACAATTTCTCTTGATATTTTATCATTTTTCAATACAATATATCACATTAACAAATTAGAGAAAATCTTGTAAGTTATTGCCCCAGGAATCTACGTTCATTTCCAATAAATATTGACATGTGTGTTTCAATTCTGAAGAACGAGGAAAATCTCTACTGTGTTGATTAAGTGATCAGTCTGAATAAATAGGTTTTACTACAATTTCAGGAGCATTTGCTATACTATTTTATACATTAATACTATGCACTCAGATCTGTATTATATTATTTTATTAACATTGTTAAAATTGTTAAAGGAGGATATTTTTATAAATTCATTCGTCTCCAATTGCACAGGCGGTGTAAATCTACTTCTATTATATACCTGCATATATGGTATTTTAGACAACAATATAATACAATTATACATTTCTTGGCACAGATCCCTCAGGATATACAAATTAGGTTCTCTAATATGACATCACAGGCAAAGTTAATAAACTGATGTATATAGTTTATAGTCTTAAAAAGTTGCCTCCTAATTATTAATTAATTAACTCTTAAATAGCATACTTGACTACAATTGTACTTTAACATCCCAGTCCATC